AAGATCAGAAATCAGGGAATGCCGAAGCGAATTCATTGTATAAAAGTATTTTCAACTATATTGAAAGCTTTGTATGATGAAACGGTAGAAACTGGTTATTTGATTTTCGATATTTGAAGGCTTAGAAATTGATTTACTTATCGACAAATCGTTGTAAGATTCATGATTTATGCTTCTACTTTAGTGTACTTATGTTGTTTAACTTCCAGAAGTTTTTTCAAGCTGTTGGCACTTGTACGTGTATTTGTAAAACGACGCCAATAATATTCACAGTGTCGCAACGTTGATATTGAAAACTTAGGAAGAGTAAAGGAAACAGTGCTTATATGGTGATTGGCGTAATCAGGATCATCAGCACCTAATGACGTCAGCAATCGCGATGGAAAAAGTACAGAGCATGATCCTGCTACCGCCAGCCATCCATATGAAGAAGATTAGTGACTCCTCGTAGCTAAGGACGATCGGCCTACACGCTTTGTACTTATTGCAAGTGCGGGAGGAAACTAGAAAACGAAAACGAGTCCATCAATAATGACAGTGAGGTAAAAGAACTCATGACAGGCAGAGAACCTGCATCGCAAAAGGGGTAAGCAATGTGCTAAATACAGATGCACTCCATAAATCTGTTGAATTGCTAAGCCTCCTCAAGATCCATTTCTCTCATGCGAGAAAAACCAAAAATAAGGGCATATTAAGAGCGCAAAACACTGACCCAACATTGAATCTGTTCGATACATAAGGTAAAGCGTATTATGAACGGTGATCATTATAGCACGCAATCAACTGTTTTCTTTTATGAAGTGGTATTCTATGGGCAAAGAATCGAGTGTCATACACCCGAACTGAGGAGCTATTAATGAGGTTACTTGGCTTGAACTGCATATAAATATTACAAATTACCAAATGTTTTTGAGGCTTATTAATTCCTTTATTTAACGAATGCTTTTTAAAAAATTCTTAAAATTTCTTTACTGATATGCTTATAACTGTGGAAAAATTGGGAAGGTGGTCATGCTCTCAGAGTTATGCATTAGGACATCGAAGACAGACGGCCTGCCGTACTGGATGGTCAAAAATTCATGGAATACTGCCTGGCCACCGATGATTTTCCTCACATATGACACGATTCACCTAATTCAAGCTGTGACACTGTAATGCTGCTCAAAATTATTTTTGGCTTTATTGGATAGTATGAAGAACATCAGCTAGAATGCAGTAAATTATATTGCAGATTTCATTGTAAATTCAAAATGCAGTTACTGAAACACTGAGGTAGGCAGTTGAAGGGTGATTTCGCCAAAATCAAACGAGGTTCGAGATGGAATATTAATGCACTGAACGAATTTTCACTCATCATACGATTAATGCGTTTTGCTACCGACAATTCGGTTCCGTATCTTTGCTACTTTTCTTCCCTTTAAATCGGCAGCTGGCAAACCGTGCCAGAGCAGCTTATGCCAATATCAAAATGCAGTACCTCGGCCACCTTACCTATGACAAGCAAAAGAAACAAAGACAAAATAGCTCTCCCATGATTCCAATCAATATTTGCGGCCATTAGATTTTCACGATATATCGTTACCACCGCTTTTAGACGCAGTAGCCGTTACATTGACCAAACGCATTAATTATCGAATGACAACATGGTTCCAAAATCGGCTGAAATGAAACTCTCTCACTGGTCCTCCTCTTTCTCAAACTGTCTTCCATATTTTCTTCTTTCATTTTGTGCTTACCATGTGCCTTCTGATTATTTTGAACATGCTACCTCTCGAAAGGATCTGCATCCATTTCATGAAAATGATGACATTTTCATACTGAATTCGTCTTTAAGTTTTTCGACTAAATCTATAAGATAAGGCGAAGAGGATGGCATCCGGCTTTGAATTTCAAATATGCCGGATTCGAATGAAAATATCCTTGACTGCTAGTCCCCTTGAACAGCGTATTTACAGAATTGTGTTTCTCTGCAACAAGGCAATAAACGCTTTGACTTTAAGTGAAGTTAAGAAGTCACAGCTACGTTAGTTGGGGCATATCTTACCAATGTTTCCAGAAAGGACGAAGAAACAATTACTACCTGCTCAACAAACCAACCGAAAATCCCGACATGGCCAAGAATAATCTGAAGGAAGTGCATGGAAGAGCTCCGCTCCAAACTCGATCGTTCTACTTCAGCGGCGTAAAAAGATAAGCTGAGATTTTAGCAGTTATTCCAGCCACACTTGTTTGGACAAAACTAAAATAATGCTACAATATGACATTCATTGATTCACTTTTTCTTCCTTTTATTCAATCCTTCACTTATTTATTCATTCATTCATTCACTCACTCACTCACTCACTCACTCATTCATTCATTCATTCATTCATTCATTCAATCACTCATTCATTCACTCATTTACTTACTCACTCGCTCATTCATTCATTCATTCATCATCCACTGTCGCTTCTCCTTTCGAGTCGCTGTCGCAGATACGTCAAGCATTACTTTCAATGTTCCCGATCCGGTGCTACAGTCTGAGCTTCGGCAG